CATCCAGAGTTTCTTTTTGCAGGTTATGTCTAAACTCTGTCTCTAGCTGGGCGCCAGTCAAGGCATATTTTATGCACATAGAGATAGTATATATATAGTATATATAATTATGTACATACATACACACCATGTATATATCTATATACATTCATCCACATATATATAATGAATGGTGACCATCAAATCACCTCATTAGCTGTTCTGCCGCCAAAGCGTGTCAGCAAAAACCCTTCCCAGTACCACAATTCTGTGGCACCAGTAACTTTGAGAACTAGTTAGGGCTTAGATGGAAATGTTGTCCCAAGTAATTGAATAATCTCATTTAAAGAGAGTCTGATTTTTTTTTTGTCCCCACACTCTTATTGTTTCAAATGTAAAATAAGATGCTGTCATCTTCCAGGCATTCCAAAGAAACAACACAGAAAACAAACATTGACATTACAAAGGGATAAATATTGGGATGGTACCAGGCTGAACTTCTGGCACTCAATATTGTGGGTGTGTTTCTGGAAGGAGAAAAAATATGCCCGCTTTTTCACCACATAACCACAGTCATTGTCTATAGCAAGAGCCTAATTGATTGATAAACTGTTGGAAACATTTATTCTCTTCTTTTGGTAAAAGCTGTGATCTGCTAGCAATTTGTCAGCTTGTTCTTTTAGCTTCCTCCTTAAAAACAAATAAACAAACCCCTCATTTTTCTAATTGAGTTTCCCCAGGAGAGCAGGTCATTGTTTTGAAGCTTTCAACAAAAATTTAAAATTAATGGCATACATTCCCAGATGTTACTCTTTCTAAGTTCATTTATCCCAGAATAAAGATACTTGCTGCTAAAAATACTTGGTGGAAAGCTGTCTCATAAAACAGCATCAAAGCTGTCTTGGGTTTGTTGGTATCTAATTTTTCATTACTCTATCAAGGTTTTGCCCACAGATCTCTGTAATCATTCGGATTTGCAGCAAACCCTTCTTTCCCCTTTTCAAAGCAACATTTGCATTAGGCTTATGCTAGTCTTCCATGGCAAGGGAACAGGTGGAAGGTTAGTTTACCACATTTGTACTTTCCATTTTGAATCATAGAAAACATTTAAAATGTAAAATGTAAAAGCAAAAAAAATTTGCTTTTTTACACAACGTCGTGCTATTTTGTCACAAAGCATAAATCTTCCATGAGTAGCATCTCCTGTCATTAGGAGTCCCTAAGTTAGCCTTTATTTCTTCCAAATGACACTGACTGCATGTTTGTTATTTTGTTACTGGTGCCTTTCATTACAAATATATTAGAAACTTCACAAACTGTCATTAGCTGAAACGATTTTTAGAAATGCAGTGTAGGAGATTCAGTCTTTCCACAATTGCCAGAAATTCCCTGAAAAGCCCAAATATCTGTTTATAGAGGGTTTTTTTTTTTTTTCAAGGAGGTACCTTATTAGAGGTAGACCATCCCTGCTCCAGAATCAAGTTAAATGGCATCCAAATCTGTCTCCCTCCTCCATCTGTTTTCTGAAGTTTGTATAATTATTTTTAGTGTGCTGTTTTTTTCTCAAAAAGAAGTTCCTCAGTGTTCTATTTTCAACAACAGTGAAATATCAGCAAGCCARCTTTTGAGAACATCCCTATGATAGCAAAGCATTACAGTCAGATTATAGTTAGGGAAGTTTTTGACCCCTAGGCATATCTGAGAGGGGGAAGAGGCAATTCTAGGACAGGCATCAGGAGAGAATGAGAGCAGACAAAATTCCTGCCACAGTCCATGAAACTTTCCTTGCAGTGGTTTAGTACTATCCAAATTATTGCATGGGGTTGAAAATGCTGGCCAAGCTTCTGAATAATGTTTCTAGTAGTGGTCTCCTCAACACCTGACAAAAGTCTAATGACGTCATTGAGGGTCGTCCACTGACTTCAGAGCAAGTTGGAAATTTTAGGTGGCACTGGGGGTTCTTTGCATCCTTTTGTTCTTGATGTTTCTCTACTAGGCAGCTCTGGGTTTTAGAGAGATGACTAAAATTAAAATAGTAAATTTATGGACTATATATTGTTGGTCTTACCCAATCCCCAAATCCAGTTCAATAACAACAATAATTAAATAAGGACTGGTTAGCTTTATGATTATAGATATAAAATGTTTATATATATATATATATATATATATAAAGTGGAAGTCTTGTTGAATATAAGATCTTGAAGAGCTGAACTAACTAAAGTTCATATTCAAGTTGTCATTATTTTCCCTCCTCCCTTAACACTATAAGGTATTGATAAGATTGAACTGTAACTAAGATTCACCTGGTGAGTTCTCTGCAGGAACCTATGAAACCATATATTTTATTTACTATCTTGTCAGTCCTACCCTAAGGTAGTTGTAAGATTTTGAAAGAGGAAACAAGAAGGGTGTAAATTGAGTGAAATTGAGCAATAGTGCAGTCATAAATGCAGTATTTCTGGCCTAAGTGTGAAAAAAGGACCATGTTGAATATATCAGAATGGCATTTCTATGTAAGTAAAGTTCCTCATCGAGATTTTGTTTCTGTTTATTTCACAGTTTAATCTAAGCTTACCCAGATTCCTCAAAGCTGCCAAATATCAGATGAAAGTAGGAGGTTTGAAGTTCATCTGAATTCACAAAATAAACTTGTGATTTCAGGTTGAAATTGCCTAAAATTCTGTAGCTCCATAAAACTCCAAGCAGAAAACAACACAACGCAACATATCCATGTTTCCAGAATTTTTCCTCTAACTTGGAGTTTCAGTCAATCCTCAAATTCAGAATATCTAATTTATACAAACACCAGATGATCTCAGAAGAACCAAAATCACCAAGTATAATGTACTCTGCAACTTTGCATGTTCATCTCATGGGAATGTATGCCATAATACCAACATTATTTCTAGATATGGCCCTCAAACCATCTTTTATATGATCACGTTCCTCAGGATCTGATGGGTTGTACTTAAAAAAACAAAAACAAAAAACAAACAACTTCATCAAACAGTCTCAGTCAACCTAGCTCTTCAAAATGATGGATGCATTAATGATTATAATGAAAATATATGGATATAAATGACTACTGAAAAATAACAAGAACAATGAAGTTGGTGAATTGCAAAACATTATTTGTAAAGAACTGCCTTTGATGAAAAAGTCTCTTTGGTTAGCCTTTTTCTTATCTCAAAAATACTAATGATGTGAGTGATATCGTTTACTTTTGCAGGAGCATTCACATAAAATGAAGTTCTGAAAAATGTTAAAATAAATGCATTTGCATGAGTACTGCTAGCAGAAATATTTGTACAAACACACGTTTCTTTGGTTTACTTATATCCCCCTCTTTATGAAATTCTGATGAACAGTAAAAATATGATTTGCTTAATAAGAATCAGCAATGTGGTCTAGTGGTTACCAAGCTGTATTTAGAATGGAGGGATCTGGGATCAGTGCCTAGCTCAAATACTGATCTACTTTCTGCCCTTAGGCAAAGGACTTTGCTGTTCTCTATCTCTGCATCCACTTTTGCTCCTCCGGCCTTCCTTAATATATAGACTACAAGATGTTCAAAATGGGATGTGTATCATCATTTAGGGGGGATGGGATTCACATGAACCATCTAAGCAGTAAGTGTTCCGTTGCAAGTTGAATTTGTGGCTTTCTTCTGTTTTTGCCTCCCAAGGCAAGGTGAAATGATGCTAAGGTGAAAGACCTTGACTAAGGGTGATGATCAAGCCTTGGAACAGTCTTCCACGGAGCAGTACTCCTGTATTAGATGCCCTTAACCATCTGACAGAGCAGTTTTAGGGAAAATAAGAGTGCACCACTCTGAAGGATGATTTGTGCTCTAGAAGTCAGTGCGCTTCTATTGTGCTCTTCTGAATCAGTAGCTTCCCTCACATCTGAGTCCTGTCTCTTCACTTGGGATGATGCACCCACATTTGGTCTCTTTCCTCACTTTGAATTTAACATAATACTTTCCCTYCGGTGGGTAGCAGCCCATAGAAACCCTTCAGTTTCAGTGCACAACTGACTGCAATCCCCTGGAAGTTTTGTGCGTTCTCCAAAATACAGACTGTAAGATGAYTGCAGTGCATCTGCCACCATCAATTCAGCCATCTCTGAGGTTGACCTCAACAAATACTGCTTGGTGTAGAATAAAAACATACACTGTTTTAGAGAAGAAAATATCAGTCTGACTTTGGGGGCTGCATGGGCTGCATAGTGTATTGGAGTCTCCTACTACACAATATATATGCACTTGGAAGAAGCCACACTTCTTTCTAAAAAAAAATTGAGTGAMAACATTTTGAAGGAGATCATAAAAGTCTCTTCTGAGGCTGGTGTATATTGTGTAGAAGGGTTTATCTTACTTTTTTTTAAAAAGGGCAAACTTTTTAAAGGGCAAAAGGATAGATATTCAATGGACATAAACATAACAGAACTATGCCAATTTATTGTTTCAATTGCAAGGAACTCTGTCATGGTTGTAGACATGAAGCTGTTTCTTCTTCCAAAGTGACACTTATCATGAAGCTGTTTGTACCTTGCCAGGGAGAAGTGGACAACTGTGTATTTGCTCTTATGTATTTGATTAGAGCTGTGGTCAAAGAAGCATTTTGTTCTTGGATGGAATAAACAGCAGCTGGTGCTGTGGGAGTTCAGCAGTACAGCTATCTAGTCCTGCCCCATCACAAGCCCATGATCTCTTGCTAGATTTTTGCAAGAGAGATGGAAAGCAAATATTTATTATTACCCCAGATAGGTCCAGCAAAGTCTTGACTGTTAGTGGATGGACTGGAAAGAAGGCTTAGAAAGCAGAAAAATTTAGAGGAACAGTGACAACAGAGTGACAACACAATATAGACGTTAAACTCTATTTAACGTGTAAATTGATGTGTGTGAGGGACACCAGCAGAGAAAGAGGTGGATTATAGTGGAACTCCTCCTTAGACCAATCCAACCTCCCCGCTTCCTTCAGCACGTCTCCCCATCCCTCATCCCTTCCAGAATACCTTTCTCCCAGCCTCGTTGTTGTGCAAGTTCATTAGCCGCCGAGCGTTCTTCTTGATTTCTCGGGCGTCCACAAACCTCCGGGAGAACTCAATGCCGTATCTGATATCCGCAGAGCAGCCTCCCCATTTCCAGCCCTCCTCCTGGTTGTAGTAGCCCTGCTTCTCCCGGTCGCAGCCGCAGTTGCTGAGGTTGCCCTGGCTGCAGGCGGCTGTGACGGCGTGCGCAACGCCGGCAGCAGTGATGGCGTAGGTGAACGCAGCTTCCCTGCTCCCTGTGGAGACAAGTCAACAGCTGGTGGGTTTTGCAGAAAGGCAGCGCTTACCAAAAAAAATACCCACGTGGCGTGCTGCAGCAGCAGCAGGTGGGAAGGTAAGGAGAGCATAACTACTAATGTCTATTCCTCATTCTTAAAAAAATTACATGCATGTTTTAAATGCTTGGCTAGACTGAGGCATGGTGGCCCAGGTAAGCACCAGCAATAGGACAATCCCATCTCACACCCTAAACCAAAGGGGAGCTGAGCAATGCATTTGGTATGTTGCTGAGGTGAGGAAACACAGATTGCTTGTGCAGGATCTAGCCAGGTTTGCTCACTCAGTGGGACTGTATGCTCAGATGATTAATAGGTGAGCTGCTGATAGCAATGCTCACTAGAAGATAGGTGCTGGTTTTAGGAGTTAGCACTGCATGGGAAAAGGGAGCATTCAGACAACTTAAGAAATACTCTTTCAGATAGGCAGGAGGGCTAGGATGCAAAATGAACAAGGTCATTCACCCATCTTTAGAAATGTTGCAGCAGTGCCCTTTGTTAGTCCTGTCTGCCAAGGAGAGTAAAAGAAGCCTGTGAAGCCAAGATTTAGGCGGGCGCTTATTTTCTTTCAAGGTAAGGTAGAGACCAGCTCTTTTCTTTGCTGTAACTCCTCTTTCTCTCTCATACCGAGGCAATCTTCTGCCTTAGCTTAGCTCTTGGATGTGCAAGGCATAGTGAACTGCTGCAGCATCTTTATTTCCTCTGAAACAGCTATGATACTGTATGTAAGCAAAGCTTGTTTWTGTGTAAAGTTCTGTTTTTCTTCTTTTGTAATGCTCTACATGTCAAGGTCCCTTGTTCCCAATTCTGTATGACAGCTGTTGATATGGACTGTATGAGAAGAGGCAAATAAACTCATTTCTTTATTGGGCACTGATTGACTGAGTCGCCTTTGGGATCCGTAAGCAAAGAGACTCAATGGCAGAATGATTGAAAGGGATTCTATGSCTACACCCCACTCTGCAGTCTGTGATTGACTGAATTTAGGGCTGGATCGTGGCTCTCCATATTTTGCTGTTCCCCTTTAAAACATTTCCCTACAAGACTATTTCTCAGTGCTATCATCATCTTCTTCTGTGTATTTATCTGGTGATAAATAGACAATCTTGTTGTACCACAGCCAAAGAATAACTGCAAAGAATTTGTAGAAAGTTGCTGAAAYGCTTTAATGACCACACACAGAGCTTTGACATGGTTAATGGCTTTGAGAAGGGGAAAAGGAAAAAAAAAAAAAA